AAACACTAATATACAAGTATATACTAAAAAACCTATCAAATGTTCAAATTAGCTCATTCATTTTCATTAAACAATTCTTGATACCATTTATAAGTGTGGCTCAGGAAATCGCCTCTGTTCTGGACAGGTGTGTATTTTCTTCTTTATGGTTTATGATATTCTTATCTGACGCTTCGGTCTGTTAGAGTGGCTGGACTTTTTTATGGCCTTTATTTTTTATTTTTCCTTAAACATGTTCTTAAGTTGTAAATTATTGATTATTCCTCTTTCCTAAATATTTTAAAACCCTCCTTCTCAACTGGATCCCTGTTTTCAGCATTTAAACTTTCTCAAGCCTCTTTAATCATGAATAAAATAAAGAACCTCCCAAACCATGTCTGCCCCTAACTCCTGCTCTCTCCCACTTTCCTTCAACAATGAACATCTAAAAGGTGGTCTCTGCTTCCACTTCCTCTCCCTCCATTCATTCCTCAGCTTGCTCCAGTCAGCTTCACTCCCTTGAAACAATTCACACTAAGATCCCAAGGACTTTCGGCAGTACCTGATCTCTCAGAGGACGCTCTTCACCCTTCATTTTTCCTTTTTTTAAAAAATAAGTAACATTTTCTCCACTGTCACGACATCATATTCTCAAATTTTCATCCTGACCCTCTAACCTTCCCTCCATTCCAGTTGCAGAATGATTCTCCTCAGCTCCCATCATCTCTCAGGAAGGGTAGTGAAACAGACTCCTCACTGAGTGCTTTCATTTCATGCCTGCATCATTCCCCTCTTCATATACATGCAGTCAGAATGGTATTTTCAAAATGAACATCTGGTTATGTTATTTTCTTATTATATTATTTTCCTTTTCAATGGTTTCCCGTTGTTCTTAGCAAAAAGATCCAAATCTTCCACCTGTTCTACAAGGCCCAGCCTGGTACCCCTCTTCAGCCTCACTTGTTCTTTACTCTTCACTCTGGACATCCACATGCTATGCTCCCTCCACCAGAGTCTTGGTACATGCTTCCCATCTGCCTGTAATGCTTTTGCTTCCTCAGCCTTATTAATACCTACTGATTCTTCAGATCTCAGTTTGATCATTCTCTCCTCAGGATCCCTGTCTGACACCCAGATGAAGTCATATCCACTTTATGCAACCTTTTAGCAACATGCACCTTTCCTTCATGTCATTCATCACAGTAAATAATTATACATTACTTGGTGATTTTTCTGTGTTTTCTCTATATGTACTGCAAATGTCCTGAGAACAGGATCATGTCAACTTTTACTCACTAACGTGTCCTGAGTGTCTAACACGATTCCTTGCATATGATAATTACTAAACTACTGAACTACTAAATCTTATTCAACTCATGTTTATGGAAGGCTTCTTTCTCCCAGTAGGCTCTGAAAAAAACTATTTATACCTATCTGGTGCTGTAACTCTCTATCTATGCCTTCTTTCCTTTCTATTCCTTTCAGAAATTTACTCAAATATATAACAACAATACCTACCATACTGGGTTGTGGTAGAGTTAATGGCCCTGCTTTGTCTACCTGCACCTATGCACTGTTCCATGTACTTCCTTCCATTAATAGTCAGAGTAGATTCCCCCCCCCCCCCACATTCGGTTTCAGAAATAAGACTTGCTTTGGCCATTGGAACATTAGCTGACGTCATAAGCAGAAGTCTGGAAAGCAGGATTGTAATTGGTCTACTCTTTTGCATTACTGCCGTCACCATGACAAGATTATGCCCAAAACAGCCACTGATCCCATAAGGAGAAAGACAAGATTGAGCAGAGACACTTCCAATTGAACCTGGCTAGATCAACCAACCCCAGAAGACCTACAGATTTATAAGCTAAACAAATACTGGTTACACGCTTCTGAGATTGCTGCGGCTGTTATGTAGCATTATTGTGGTCGCAGTAAAATGATACAAGGTGTTGGGAAGACTAAATGAGATAAGGACGAAAAACATCTGAAGCAGAGCCTACTCTTTTCCCTGAATTTCGCTACAGAGGAGTTCGTATGAAAATGGCACACTTATTGCAGCTTTGCACTTTCTTAGACAATATCCAGCTGAAACCTGATAGCTCTTGGTGGAATAAGACAGAAAGCTAGTTCCAATCAATCTGACAGAACCAAAGCCAGGGAATTGTCATGGTGTAGGCAGAAGCTACTATTTATTGAGTACCAGCTCTTCTTGGAGTTTCATTCATCTTTTTTATGGTGTCTTCGCTTACACTTTCATTTTATTTCTCCTGTTATCTTATTATTATTTTCTTTCTCTTTCTTTGAGTTAGCACTCTTTTTGTTTTTCTTACTAACTTCTTGAGTTGAAGAATTCCATTTATAACGTTAATCTTTCTTAGTTTCTTGTCTGAACATTTCTTGCTACAAATGCCCTGTAGCCACCACCCCACAACACCCCCTCAATCACTTTCATTACATTTCTCAATTTTTTATATGTGATGTTTCTTTTGCCATTCATTCCTAAGTATTTTGCAGTTTTCATTATTTTCTCTTTTACTCAATAATTATTTTTAAATATTTTGCTTTCAGTGTTATTGGTTTCAGTTAAAAATCTATTGTTATTTGAAGGGTGATTTTTTGTGGGTATATATTTCTAACTCTATTGCATTATATTCATAGAATGTGGACTATGTGTTATAAATTTTTAAGTACTTTTTAAGATAATCTTGTGACTAAAAGGAAGATTGATATAGTGTTTTATATAAGTCCATTAGATTACTATTGCTAACTACTCCTTTCAAATATTCTATATTGTCATTTATTTCTTTTCTTCTTCTGTCTTTTTTGAGGAAGATTAACCCTGAGTTAACATCTGCCACCAATCTTCCTCTTTTTGCTGAGGAAAACTGGCCCTGAGGTAACATCCATGCCCATCTTCATCTACTTTAGATGTGGGATGCCTGTCACAGTGTAGCTTGACAAGTGGTACGTAGGTCTGTACCTGGGATCTGAATCAGCAAACCCCAGGCTGCCAAAGTGTGATGTGCGAACTTAACCACTGCACCACCGGGCCAGCCCTTATATTATCATTTTTTAATGTTTGCTTAGATTCTTATGTAGATACACTTTTAAAAGTCACTGTGTTTTCTTTTGTCATCTACATATGAATTAAATCATATGGTATTTGTTTTTCTTCATCTGACTTATTTCACTTAGCATGATACCCTCAAGGTTCACAGGGAAAGTCGGGAGGAGGGCAGGTGAAATTCATAAAGGGGGTCATTCATACAGTGATAGATAGAAGCTAGACTTTTAGTAGTGAACACAATGTAATGCATACAGAAGTCAAATTATAATGATGTACACTTGCAATCTATATAATGTTATAAACCAATGTTATCTCAATAAAAAAAGAAAATTGAAAAATCTAAAAAAAATCACTATATTTTCCCAAATTTTTCAGATAATTCTTTTTCTCTTTAGTGATAGACAGATACAGAATTTTAATCATAAAGTAATGTAGTTATTAGTATAGAGTAATAGAGATTTTTATCTGAAAATATACATTGTTAGATATAAATATTATTACACTAACTTTCTTTTAGCTAATATTTGTTTGACATTACTTTTCCTCTATTTTCTTTAAACCTGTTTCATTACTTGTCGATATCCATAAAGCTGGATTTTGTTTTTGTAAAGTCAGTGTAAGAACCTCTCTTTTAGTAGGTATCCTTAAATAAATTTTTGTTCTTTTACTTTTTTGTAAGTTATGGATTTTATTTTTATTACTTTAATTACCTTTAAATTTTTAACATGTATATCTGACAAATTCTAATATTAAGTCAATCAAGGCAATCTTTTTGAAATTATGGTATCACTTCTTTATTAAATTCTTAAAAATAATTTTGAAGCTTCTGTTTATGTTGTAAAATAAATGTTATTGAAATATCCTGTTCTGTAAAGATTTGCAGAATTCGCCTGTAAAACCATGTGATCACAGTGCTTTTGAGAAGCGGGAAATAGCTCTTTGGCAACTTGCTTATTACTTCTACAGTAATTAGTCTAGCAATATTTCCAAAACATTTTGAAGAAAATTTTGTCTTCCTTAGTATTCTCCATCTTATCCGTATTTCGAATGTATTTCCACATAACTGAGAAAAATGTCATGATTTAAAAAAATTTCCTCTGCAACTTTGGTTATTTCACTTTTATCATTTATTTGGTGTATTTGTGTTTTCTTCCTTAATTATTGAAGCATTCTTCTTTACTATTATCTTTAATTCTTAGAGCACTGATTCTATTTGTGTTATCTGCTGACTCTCCTTTTCTGTGGTTGCTCTTTCCCTTATAATTTTTGATTGTGAGTTCATGTTCAAAGAACTTATTTTATATTCCATGGGAATCCTTTGAGTGAACCCATAGAGCAGTTCTGTGTTGACTCTGGAGAGTTCCTATGGATTTCAAAGGTCTTTTGCTATTTTCATATTATTTTCTTAGTTTGGGTTACTGGCACTAAATATGGCCAATAATTCAAATGCCATAATCTTGAGTGGCCCAGGTGTGGGATTTAGATTTCTCAAGAGTGACTTATCGTTAAACCTTATCTATCATAGGTCCAGAACGCAGGCAAGATTCTTCACTCCATCTATAATCTTTTAGAAGCATTTTTTTCAATATTTATATTTGGGAAGGGGATGATACTTTAACATCTAGGTTCCAGCTTCTTCTGTTTCATAGATCAGAATCCTTGTCTTTTATTCCTGGGAAGGCTTTAGAATCCCAGTTCTCCATGACTTTTAATTGGAACTGCTGCCTGTGTGGTTGGTTGCCCATGGTGTCAGACGGTCCTTATTATTTGTACTTTGAGTTCTCTCTACATTCCTTCCATGTGTATATTGTCCTTTCTTTCCTTTGAACTTGGATATAAAAATATATTTACATGTGATTTATTTTATACTTGAAATTTTTATCTAAATTTTTGTTTTAATGTTTATAAATATTTAAAACATGTCACCAGAATTTCTATAAATTTATTGCAGGATTGAGGAAGAAGAGTCTTTTGAAGTTTACTCTGTCACATTGCCAGAAATTGCCTCCACTGCCTTTACAGGTAAGAAGATTGAGGCCAGGCTGGATTAGAACATTTGTAAGAGCACGTAGCTATTAAGCAGCAGCATCAGGGCTCAAATCCCCATCACCACAGTGCCTAGTATTGTGTCTGACAAATAACAGATACTCAATGAATGGTGAATGATTAAACATCTAAATAAAACAAAGGAAATAGGAAGCGCTTCTTTTTTTGGCAATGCTGTCAGTGATGGAGAGGATGGAGTAACAAGTATCTTCCTTTCTGCACTTCATAGTTGAAGGGCACTCAAGAGGCAGAGATGTCTTGGACATTTGTGAATTCAAGACTCTGCTACCAAAGGAGAAATGATAACCTCAGATGCTGCTTCAGTCAAAGCAAGGAGATCTGAGATGTGATACTGGCATTTTAGAACTGCTCAGTAATTTATCATTCAAGTCCCTTGCAAATGCTGTACATTTCTTTCCCGAATCATCTCAATTCTTCATCTATCCAGTAATCACATTTAGAACAAAGCAAATGTTAACAGAGGATGAGGCAGCTAGCATTTTAATCCAGCTTTAAATGCTGGCTGCATTTCAGATGATTTACAAAGAGCTTTGAAGAAGAAAGATCTATTACTTGTATTATTTCAAGAGAGAGAAAAAAAACTTTAATTCAGTTACACAAAATGAATTACATTATTCAGTGGAGAAATCAGATTTTGATTTCTAAAACAAATATTTTGTTTAAAACCTCTGGTAGAAGTTTTAACATTTATAATACTATTTGAAATTACTTGCCCGTTCTAACCTGTCTCACTGGTCCTGATCTCATCCTCCTACCATCAATACATAGCATAGCACCCAGACTGAGATTGTTAAAATATAGGTCAGATTGTGTCCCTCGTCTGCTCAACAACAACAAATAGTTCCTCATACCAAGAGGAGAACACCACAAATTCTAACAATGGCTACAAGGTCCTACAAAATATGGCCCCTCCTCCTAGTTCTCTGACCTCATCTCCTTTGACCACTCCCTGTCCTTGGACTAAATCTACTCCAACCGTAATGACCTTCTCGCTGTTCCTTAGACAGACCTGGTGGGCCCTCCTTTGGAGTCTTAGTTCTAGCTCTTTTCTATGCCTGCAATGCTGTTCCCTTTGAAAGTCTCCTAGGTTGACACTCTCTTCTATCCATCCTTGGTCCAATGTCATCCTCCCAGGGATCTTCCCTGGAAAATCAATTTATAATTGAAATCTGACTTTCCTGCTCCTACTCTGGCACTTCTGATTCCCGTTTCCAGTTTTTATTTTTCTTTAGAGCATTTATCACCATCTAATATGCTACAGAGACACACACACACATTTTTAAAAAATATTTATTCTATTTTTATCTGAATGTCCCCACTACAAGGTCAGCTTTGTGGATTTTGTTTTGTTTTATTCCTAATGTATCCTCAACTCCTAGAGCATTGCCTGTAACTAGTAGGCAGTTGATAAATATTGGACAATGAATAAGTGAATGAATGAGTAAAAAATACTGGTTATTGAATCTTTACTGTGTAAGGCACTTTTCCATGCACTTTACATTTAATCTTATGACATAGGTCCTCATTTTTTACTCACATTACAGCTGAGGAAATGGAAGCACACAGAGATTACGTAATGGTTGCAAGATGTATAATGGAAATTTAAATTTCTATGATTGAAATCATTGACTAATTTTCCCATTGCATCTTGGACAAGATACAATTTTTTTCAGTTTTTAATTCAAGACTCTCTGCAATCTGATCCCTGATCATCCTCCCAGAAATTTGGCTCATTCTCTCTTTTCTAATTAAGCTGAGAAGTTCCCACAGAAAGAAAAACAAATGATGATGATAAGAAGAGGAAAAAGACCCAGTGTAATGACCCTTGACTGAACTCCTAATGTGTACCAGGTACCATGCACATCGGTATATGTACCATCTCATTTAATCCTCACCACAACCACATGGAAAGACTGAGGCTTGGAGAAGCTAAGTAATTTCCAAGTGCACACAGATAGTCAAAAGTCCAGCCTGTAATTTGACCTGGGACTCTGACCTCAAAATCCCTGACATTAACCATACATTAGACTGAGCCGTAATTTGTCTCTGTATGGTGCCAGCTGCACTATATTCTGTGAGCAAATGACTCTACTTGGGGTGAAAATGCTGTTGCAACTTCAGCTTGTCTTATGTATTAGTTTTTTTATTGTTGTGTAACAAATGTCCTCACATTTTAGCAGCTTGAAACAACAATTGTTTAGTAAATCACAATTCTTGTGTAGAAGTCTGACCCAACTTAGCTAGGTGCTCTGCTCAGGGTATCACAGAGCTGAAATCAAAGTGTTGGCTGGACTGCAATTCTTTTTGGAGGCTCAGGAAGAATCACTTCGGAGGTCATTCAGGTTAATGAAAGGATTATTTTGGTTGTAGGACTGATGTCTCCATTTCCTTGCTGGTTGTCAACTGGGGGCTGCTTTCAGTGTCTAGAGGCTGCCCACACCCCTTGCCACATGGTCCCCTCCATCTTCAAAGACAGTAATCACACTTCAAATTCTTCTCATGATTTGAATCTCTGACTTCCCCTTTTTCTGACCTCTAGACTCATATTCAAAAGCCTCATGTGATGAAGTCAGGGCCACTCATATAATCTCCCTGTCTTAAGGTCAGCTGATTTTGGAGCTTAATTACATCTGCAAAATTACTTTTACCATACAATGAACCAAAACTGTGGGAGTGATATCCCATTATATTCATAGACCTAAGGATTGTACACGGCATGTATACCAAGGGGTGAGAATATTGAAGGACATCTTAGAATTCTGCCTGTCACACCAGCTCCCTACCTTCCCATTCTCTTCACTCTGCATCAAATATCAATCCATTCTCCTATAATTACTTTGTCTCTTTCTTGGAAAATTACCAGCAGACCCTTGTGAATCCTACCCACACCCAAAGAAGATTGGCCATTGTCCTTGGGCCCTCCATTCTATCCTATTTTTCAGAGCTCTGAAGTTAGGCAGAGGGGAAGAGGAGAGCCAAAGCAGAAAGTTTTACATGCCATGGGTATTGGTTTCCTCTGACTAACGTAAAAAATTAACGCAAACTTAGTAGCTTAAAACAACACAAATCTTTTACCTTATAGTTCTTTAGGTCAGAAGTTTGACATAAGTTTCACTAGGTTAAATGCAAGGTGTCTACAGGGCTGCATGTCTTTCTGGAAGCTTAAGGTGAGCATCAGTCTCCTTCCCTTTCCTAGCTTCTAGTTGCTGCCCATACTCCTGGTTCCATGGCCCCATTTCCTCCATCTTCAAAGCTAGCAGTGTTGCATCTCTCTAAGCCTTCTTCCACCATGAGTTTCTCTTTCTCTCTATCCATAGCCAGAAAAGGTTCTCCACTTTTATGGACACCTTTGCTTAGATTGCGTAATCCAGTATAATCTCAAGGTCTGTATCTGTGATCACATCTGCAAAGCCCCTTTTGCCATGTAAGGTAATATACATTCACAAGTCCCACTGTTATAGTGTGAATGTCTTTGGGGGGGCATTATTCTTCATTGTGCACATCATGTTAAGAAGTTTGGGCTTTCTTCTGAAAGTGAGTAGAATCATTGAAGGAGTTGTGGCACAAAGTGGCTAAAACAGATTTGCATTTTAGAAAGATTCCTCAGTTCTAAGTTTCAAAATAATGATAGGGGAGTGGTCGTATTAACTAATAGTAACTAATTTAGTGTGGAGTACTAACCACATTCTTGGCACTGTTTGAAGTATTTGCCACCCTTAAGATAATTAACCCTTATAAGTTAGATACTAGTATAATGGCAATAGCCACCTTCCATGGATGATAAATATATGCACAAAGAATTTAAATAACCTTGCCCAAGATTTTGCATCTAGCAAGCACCAGAGCCAGGATTCAGTCCAAGCAGTCTGGCTTGCAGAGTCAATGTTCTAACTGCTATACAGAGTCACCCTTAACGATGCAAAATGTACCTCCTCCCAGACTTTCAAAGAGGATGAAGGATGATCAGGCATAGTGTCAGGGAACAATTTACAGGTGCAGTGGGACATGCAAAGAGGCCATAAAAAGGGGGGAGGACTTGAAAAAGTAGAGAGGAATGGACAAAGACTTTCACAAATACCTTAACTCTAGTCAAGTCTATGTCCTTCCTTTTCTATAAAATAGGATCCCTGGCCCTCTAATTGCTTGATTCTTTAAATGCTTGAAAGAATGAGTCAGGGGCAGTACAGAACAATATGTGCTGATGGGTGTAGACGCCCCCTTTGATTGCTGCTTTGCGACTTTCACAAATAACTAACCACCTGAGAACCTGTCTCCTTCATACTGAATTCCATTTTGATTTTTTCATCCTTCTTGATTCTCATCTCTTTGTACCAAAATTGTATTTTTCCAAAGATGTTTTCAAAGGTGTTTTTGTTCTCATTTAATAGGCTCAGTTTTCAATGTTTGGGCTGAAGTTGAGGAGGTGGTTTATGAAAAGTGAATACATTTGAACAGCGAAGTTTCCTGTGAACAGAAATACAGTATTGTTCCACTGTGAAGTTCCTAAGAGCCAGTCTCTGCTATTTTATTTCTAGATTTCCTTCCAACTTCTTCTTTAAAACTTTTCAAAACGACATCAAACAGCCTTCCTCTTGCTATGAAATAGAGAAAGCCCTTTCATCTGTAGGTGGGCTGGTGTGGTGCAAGGATTATCAAGCAGGGACAACCGCGACTATTGTTCTTGTAAAATATATTAACTTAAATAAAAAGAAAACTTTTCTTTCTAGCTACTCACTGTGAAATATCTGCTCTATATGTATAATTCTTAAAATTAGAGATGGTCACAGAAAGAGACAGCCTGTCAAAAACCAGATAGTGATCAATCCATGGGCACGTCCTCCAAGAAAGGGACACTCATGGCAAAAGAAAGAGAAAGGAAAACAACATTTATTGATAATCCATTTTTTGTTAAGCAAAGCACATGTTACTTACTTTATGTACCTTAAATCATTTGGGTTCTTGAAAGTTCTCTGAGCAAACTATTCATAACCCCATTCTACAGATAAAGAAACTGAGATATAGAGAAGCTGGGCAACATATTCAAAATTTTTGTGAGCGATGTAACCAGTGTTTGAATTCAGATATTTCTTGCCATAAAAAAATCACATCACTTACCTTGTCAAGTTAGTATCATTCTGAGAAATGATTATTTATGAAGGTTTCTGCTTCTTATAAGAGATATAAGAAAACCATAAATTTAGCAAATGTACAGAGAGAAAAATATCATTTATTGAATATCAAACATGCATTGAATATCTAACATACCCCTGGACCTATACGTTAAAGCATGACTTAGTAATAGGATACATTAATTCCTCCCATCGAAAAGCTTTTATTATAGGTTGAAAAGTAGCATTTCATATCTATAGTAGAGTTAATAAGTAAGATAATATTCAATTGATGCTCAATTTTATAGCACAGGCAATAATATTCTCTAGTATTTCTTCAGCACTTTTAAATTTGCAAATGTTTCCTAATGCATTATCTCACTGAATTTCCCATCCTTCCATGAGACAGGCATTGCTTGACCTCCTGTACTTTCATTAAACTGAGGCTCAGAAGTAGTTCAGCAGCATGAGTAAGATAAAGCAGTTAATAAATTGTGAAGCCAGACCTAGAACATTGTTCTTCAGCTACAGAGACATAATTCTTCAGGCCATTTAGTCTGACATCGTAATTAATCTATGAATAGAAACAATGAAGTCTTATAGATACAAAGAGAAGACAGTCTCTGTAGGACAGTCTAGGACAATTTGCCCACTCAGAACTTTTTCATCCTCTACCCTTACAAAAAAGATTTTCTGTATCTTTCTTCATTTCCTAGTCTGATCCCTGTGACTCCAACTTCAAATTCACACTTGATCCTTTCAGAATTTCAGTTACTTTTCTTCTAGAGTATTCAGTTTGGTTTATACCTCTCCATATCAATATCCCCTGTGGGGGTTAGAATTTTCTTCTATGGACATGGACCCTGAGAATCCAAACTCCACATATCTAGGCTAGTGGTGGTTTCCACTGCAGCAAAAACTAGAACCAAAAGCAGTTATTAAAGGTAAAAATTCTAAGGGGAGGCTTGGAGCAGAGGAGAAACTAGAGCTGGAAGAAGCTGTACAACATTAACCTTTTAAGTTAAAGACTGAGAGTTTAAGGCACTCCTTAAAGATATGATTTTGAAAAAATGGATAGGATACAGTGAAATAGGAGGAAGGACATGGGAGAGAAAAGAAGAGACAGTACTATGAAAGGAATGAAGGTGGATTGAGCACAGTGTGCATGAGGGAAGGGAGGGAGAGAGAAAACATTGTTCGTTAAATTCCCAAGTTGTCACACTGCAAGCTTATCTTCAGTTTTTCTTCAGCTCTTGAATTATTTGTAAGTACATACGTGTGCACACACATACACACATACTCACAGATATATCTGTTACTAAAAGTTGACAGAATTTTCACTTTCTAGTTAGAAACACACGGGCACAAAGGGCTGTGGAGGGTTTTGTAAAGATGTAATCATTCCAAATGTACAATTTTGTCAGTTTGCTTTTATAACCAAAGCACTGCGTGAATTTCAAAGCAAATACAATCTTTGTTATGTTAGAAAGCTCTGAAGTCACTGTCTTAAAAAATAAAGTGGAAACAGCTTCAGGAAATAGTTGCAAATCTCAAAGGCCCAATGCTTTGATGTATGACTCGTATTAGTAATGTCCTAAAGAAGTCATACCTAATTGATGCCATTCATTATCTGTTTGACACTTTATGATACATAAAGATAAAAGGGGAAAAGGAAGAGGTCTAGAAGTTGCTGACCACCTACTATGTGACAAGAATCAAGCATGCTTCTCGATATTTTCCATGTCATTACCTTCCCACAACAGTTCTACATTGTCAATATTATGTATAGTTACAAGATGAAAAAAATGGGAAACATGGTAAATAATTTTGCCAAGGTCCAACATCTAATAATTTTTAGAACTAGGCTATAAGTTCAAGTCTGTTAGTTGCCCAAGACCGTAATCTTCACACATTTTTAGTTGTGTGATATGTTTAGCCAATGTATATATTAGTTTCAGCTTGGATGATGCACATATATGCCCAGAGAATGGGTATAACATGACCTCACTTGATTTATTCATTTGTTCCATTGATGTATTCATGAACTTAGTTAGACTTCAGTGCTAGTTTTGTTTAAGTTCAGAGATGAAATGCACTGTATATATACTTAATAAGACTTGTCATTTAAATATCATAAAATTAATTGCAGAATTTGTCTATGCAAACAACAGCAATAAAAATACTTTGCTCCTACTGTACTAGTCAGAATAGGCTAACGTATTTCATGAAAAAGTCCAGAGGGCTGACCCTGTGGCTGAGAGGTTAAGTTCACGCACTCTACTTTGGTGGTCCGGGGTTCCACTGGTTCAGATTCTGGGTACAGAGCTAGCACTGCTCATGAAGACATGCTGAGGTGGCATCCTACATAGCAGAACTAGAAGGGTCTACAATTAGAATATACAACTATGTACTGGGCAGCTTTGGAGAGAAGAAGAAAAAAGAAGAAAAAAATTGGCAACAGATGTTAGTGCAGGTGCCAATCTTTAAAAAAAAAAAAAAGAAAGAAAAAATTCCAAGTGTCAGTGGGTTAACACAATACTAGTTTATTGTTCTCTCACTTTACAGTCTAAATGGATTGGTCAGTAAAAATGTGTGTGGGGAAGGGCTTCTGCCTTGTGAAGTTTTTCAGGGATCCAGTCTCCTTCCTTCTTGGAATACCACTGTCTTCAGTAAATATAATCCAACAGGAAGAGACCTTTTGTAAGGTGTGTAGAGCACATAAAACTCTCAACCCAGAAGTACCACACATCTGTTCTGGTAATGCTGTGTTACCCAGAACTGGTTACATGGCCCCACCTTGATAAAAAGAAATAGAGAATATGCTTCTGGCTGTAACCTCTTCCAAATAATAATTCTAAGCCATGAAAAAAGAAAATAAATTTTTGGTGGTCTGCAAGCCCTCTCTTTCACTGCCTATCATTTGGTCACCAAATATCCAAGCACATCTGTATTTGGCTTCTATTACTACCTAACAAATTAAAACAAAATTAGAGCCTTAAATTACTGTCTGAAAAATTCTGTACCAATTTTCAGTTCAAGCACAGCCTATCTGGGTTCTTTGTTCAGATTCTCATAAGGCTTCAACCAAAGGGAGGATCAGGGCTGTATTCTCATCTGGAGACTTAACTGGGGAAGGGTCCAGTTCCTAGTTCTCCCAGGGCATCAGTGGAATATTTATTTCTTTTGGCTATAGAATTCATAGCAGCTTGTTTCTTCAGTGCTAGCAATGGTGAGAGAGGAACTCTAGAATGTTCCTGCTAATGAGATGATTTTATATAACATAGCATAATCACGGATGCAACATTTTATCGCCACGGCCATATAATGTAGTGTAATCATGGGAGTGGAATTTTGCTATTGGTGTTTGGTGATTGCTGTCGATCTATTGGTTAGAAGCAAGTTGCAGATCATGTCCACATTTCGGAGAAGGAGATTATTCAAGTATGTGAATATCAGAAGGTGGAAATCATGAGGTCCACAAAAAGATATTTCTTCCCTTCACAAAACACATTCAGCTCTTCTCCAATGAAGAAAACCAAACATTCCACTCAGTCACTATATCTAGCTTAAAATAAAGGATTTTGTGGTGAAGTACAGTTCCTGCCGTGACATCTGAATGTGGCTACTCTGCATCCAACAACCTATAAACTAAAAATATAAGTGATCTGCTCCCACACACCAGTACATATATCACAACAATAACAGATTGAAGTAAGTGCAGAATGACCACAATAAAACATTTTCTTCAAAGATGGAAGACTAAAAGGTCCACACCAGGCACCAGTCAACAGCAGTTACGGGATCCTGCTGGGTGGACCCTGTGTAGAAAGTTTCTCCTGGGAGCGGGAAAGTTACTTGACTAGGCACTGCTTCTAATCTCAAAGTAGGGGCAAGAATTATTTTCAGAAATAATTTTCCTTCAGTAAATTAGTAGGCTACTCATCTATTAGCTTCCAGTTGGTTCCATGTACTGGGAACTAGATCTAAACTCTTTCTCTAAGCACAGTTTTGAATTTGCTTTTACTCTTCCTCTTGTCACTCACAGCACCCTGCTTTCTCCACGTCTCTGTCTCCCTCTTAGCTTAATGGTAACTTTAAACTATCAGAATTGAGTGGGAAGGATACACTCTTAATCTGATGTTTTTTGCTCCACTGGGTTCTAATTAGTCTCTGTTGCTTGCAGGCTTTCTCAACTTTATTCCCTGCTATTTTATGTCTAGAAGAAGTTGATTTTTCTTCCAACTCAAGGTCTCAAATTTCTAGATGATTTCTTTTCATTTATGCTTGCAAACCAGTTAATTCTTTCCTGAAGTAATTTCTGTCTTACATAAATTGGCACAGTCAGTGACTACCAGCACACATTACTAATATTCTGTTTTCCCACTTCCTCCCCTAGAACTACAAGTTGATTTGTCACAATGTAACATAGCCACCTTCTTTTCAACCTAAAATATCCATTTTCTTTTTGCCTGCTAAGCCACAACATCATAGAGATATATTTTCTCAGGCGACTCACAATTTCTGAGACCAAATATTCAATCAGTCAGAGTTTGATCAGGAAAATACAAACCATTCTAGGAATTTTGAACAAAATATTATGTAATACAGAGATTTAGAGGCTTATAAAACCATTGAAGTAGTTGGAGTAGTTGGGGATCAGGGTTTTTAAATATGTATTTACATAATATTTGGCAAGACTTAATCTTATTCGAGAAAATGTTAGTGGCACTGGAAGGAAAAGAGAAAATTGTATGGCACAGAATAAGCATTTATTGATCTAATTAGTTACAGAGACATTGTTCCATCCTAGAGTCTTGGAGATGAACGTAAAGGTCAGGACATCTGCCAATTGGCCTGCAGAATTCCATCCAAGGATTATCTGATATAAAAAGAATGATAATGAAATAAAGACAAAACAATATTCTGATGTTTTTACTGCAGATCTTTGGTATTTGTATGGGAGCGTGTTTGCATTGATGTATTTTTGCCAAGGGGGATGAAAATATCCATGATCTCTTCTTAAACTTCTTCATACCTAATGAGCTAGAAGGAAATTTTCAGTCTTTGTGGCCTAGGAGTGTTACTCTACTAAACAGAAAAATAAAGAAAACACAGCCTGAAGGCATATAGAAGCTCCTCTGAGAGCCCACACTGGCAGAGATCATCATTTAACCAACCTCATAGGGAAGGAATCCACTTTTATGTTCTTTCATATCTTGAATAAGCCACTTAAACTGGTACCTCATCACGAAAGATGGTAAGTTACCATTTTCACAGATGTGTGGAAATTAGATAAAATTAATAAAATGAGTGTTCAATAAAAGGTAGAAGATTTTACTTTATTGAAGGCTGAAATGAAGAGAGGTAAGCAAGAAAAGAAAGAAGATAAATAAAAAGAAAGAGGAAAATAGAAAAAAGAAAGAAAGAAAAGGAAACAATGTGAGAACAAGGAATAGTAAACCTAAATGTAAAACAGTGTTCCTAACAAGTGCGCCAGAGATTAACTTCAGTTACACTTGTTGATGAATACTTGTATCGTTGATGTGCATCACCATCTTCTTTAAAATTGCATTGCTTCAATTCTCTTCAATGTCAAGTACCTGCTGTCCGTGCACCATTCACTCTGCCAGGTGTTAGGAGGTAGGTGGTGCTGAGGGGCTGGAGGTGGGATCTGATGCAGATGGTGTTACATGCAACTCCAGCAATCTCTGCCAGGGTAATCAGAGAAAGACACCTGCTTGAACATTGTGAGGAGACCGCAGACTCAGGAAAAATGTTCTAACTGGAATGGAGTGCTGAGGGGTTATTTTCTTCATCAACCAAGTACATGATCTCAACAAGATTGTCAACATGTAGAAGTCACCATCAAAGGGTCTACTTTTCAGGGCTGGTCCAGTGGTGCACTGGTTAAGTTTGCATACTCCTCTTTAGCGGCCTGGGGTATCTTGATTTGGGTCCCAGGTGTGGATCTACTCACCCCTTATCAAACTGTGCTGTGGCAGGTGACCCACAAATAAGGTAGAGGAAGATGGGCATGAATCTTAGCTCAGGGCCAATCTTTATCAGCAAAAAGAGGAGGATTGGCAGTGAATCTTAGGTAAGGGCTAGTCTTCTCCTAAAAAAAAAAGGACTGTTTTTCAATAGAATGGTAAAAACATATTGTCATAAATATAAGTTGACGAGAATTTTCAATTTCTGAAGACAAGATACTGTAGACATCGGCAATCACAAAATCAAACAAATTAAAAAATAAAATGCTATTATATTCACTTCAAAAATAGACTGTCAACAGTTCCTACACAGCTGACAAAGTATTTCCCACTGTCTTCAGGGTGTGTGTTAAATTATAATGAAAATTCTTATTTTAATAAAACTCCCCATGGTTCTTCATAAAAATATTCAGGAAAGTTTATTACCAAACAAAAATCATTTTGTTTCCAAACAATTCTTTTGGAAAATGCTTAAATGATTCATGAATCGTTTGAAAAGTATTTCCTCTTTAGAGAAAAAGCAAGATGTAATGAGCAGGCTTTTGTTTGGAACAGATCTAGCTTCAAATTCTAATTTTTCTATTCACTACCTTTGAATCCTTGGACCGGTACTTAAATTTCACTTGTTAAATGGGGGAAGAGGTGGTCTTGGAAGTATTAATTATGATAATAAATTCTCAATAAACACTTTATTGCATATGCTCAATAAACAGTAGTTGTTATTATTATTGATCTGAGTCTCAGATTCTAGTGCACACTCTGCGATTCTATCACTATACTACATCCACTACAGCTCATTTAAAAAGAGATCAATAAAATGGTTAATATCCCTCCTTAGTATGGCTTTTTCTGTTTGTGTCTTATCTTCTCTCTGTCAACAAAACTCATTTTCTTTGCTCATCCCTAACAGACAATGGAGATAAAACAATCCTAGTTCCCATGGCCTGGAATAATTTAGTTCAAAAGAGAAACCAAGAAAAGTCATGCTGTCTCATACATGAGACCAACTCTCCTTATTTGACCATAACAGAAAATGTTGGGAGTAAAATTGAAAATGAGTTATCAAAAATAAGAAAAGGCTTATCTCTGTAGGAAATGAAGCTTTTGTGGATTTGTCAAACTCCTGGCATCTAATTGTGTTGATGAGCACCAAATCCACTGAATCGTGGAGTCTACAAATAAAGCATCAATTTTTCATTATCTTGACTGGGTACATGGTTTGTCCTTCATTACACTCTTGAGACAATTTCTCAAATAAGACACCAGTAATTTCTATCAGAAAATACAAATGCAGAAAATAAAAGTGGCTATTTGATGAGA